ACGGGGGGCGGCCAACAGCCGCAGAAACTTGTGGTGAGCGACCGGGGTCGCAACTAACAGCCGCGGGGAGTGGCCGCGCTATCGGGCCGGGGCTCAGCTTAAAGCCGCAGAGCCAGCGCAGCCGAACTGGTTGCCCAGAGTCAGCTTGCCTCGACGCCCCGGGGCGAGACAGTCTAGTACACCGAGACGGGGGGCGGCCAACCGCCGCGAGGTAGTAATCAAGAGTGAGTTAGTGCCCCTGGTGGACGCGATACAGTCAGCCACATCGAGAAGGGGGGCGGCCAGCAGCCGCGAAGGTAGCAACAGGCATGAGCATCTCGGCATGGAGCCGTGGACGGGGGCGGGGGTACACGATGAGACCGCCGCGCGCAGGCCCAGGCCCCCCCGAGGGGGGGCGCCAGGGGCGCGGGCAGTGCGCGGGGTAGCACGGGGCTGGAAAAGGGTGGCCGCAGGGACTCTAGCAGTAACTGGGGCCCACTAGGAAGGGACCAATCCCCGAGCCGTCTACAGCGCGCTGGGGGGGGGCAGCAGTCATCCAGGGGGAGGGGGGCCGCAGAGTGGCGCCCTGGGAGGGGCTCCAAGGCCTGGGGCGGGCCAAGAGCCCCAGCTGGGCACGTCCAAGGTGGCATTAGCGTACACAAGAAGGCGCGCAGAAAGAGCTGGCCATCCTCGTGGCCAGGATGGGCGGGGCTCCGAGGGGCACCCTGAGGAAAAAGTGCGGGGCGCCCACGCGTGCCGTCGTGCGTGACCTCGTGAGCGATCTGGGCGAAACCTAGGAGCGCGCACAGGGCCGGCGCGAACCCGCTGCCCTAATGGGTTCCACCGTTCTTGTCCACCGGGCGTCGCTGTCTTCGCGCGGCCCTCTGCCTTTGGTCTTAACAAGGGTGCCCGCGTTTCTACCTCCGTCGTTGACCCGAGCGCGGACTGCGCCCCATTTGACCCCGAGGTGGAGCGCAGTGTCCATCTTGAAGACGTTGCATTTGCGACTGAGCCATTCATTGAGGAAGCGCGCGCAGGACCCGGGCTGCTGGCGCGCAGGGTCGGCGCAGGGACGGCCCGTAGGCGGGGGATTGGCCGTCCATTGATGCCATGCACCGTTGAAGTAGTCGCCCAATTCCCTCTAGAGCCTTTTAACTGTCTCGGCAGGAGCCTCGCCAACGAGGTCCAGGATGTCGACTCGCTCCAGCGGGGCACTGTAGATGTAGAGCCCTGTCTCTGGGTCGTACAGGTCTTGTGAGTACTCGGCTTGGGCACTCCCGTGGTCGCGCTGGTCTGGTGAGCAGTCGGCTTGGGCACTCCTGTACGGGGGCCAGGGGCCTGACCGGGGAGCGGGGAGGTCGTCGTGCATGGAGGTCGCGTGGGCACGCGCGGGATGGCTCCAGCGGTCGTCGGACCCCCCGCTGGACCACCCTGTCCATTCGGCCCACTGGCCACCGCAAGGGCCGCAGCGACTAGTCTCGCGGTGGCGGCGCGGGCGGCGTTCGCGCCATCCTTCGTTCCAGTCGAGCTCCCCCCCCGCACTGGCGGCCAGGGGTCGCCTGGGAATGCTCAGGGGCACGCGGGGCACCTCGCCCAGGCAGGCGCGCGAGGTTCCGGTCGCCCTGCCCGGCGAGCACGGAGGGGGCACGTGGGCCACCGGCGGGGGGGGCGGGGCTGCAGGACCAGTCTCGGGGCTGCCCGAAGAGTGAACCAGCAAGACTGGTGGTTCGGAGCTCGGGGTCGGAGACAGGGCGAGGTCGCGCTGGCATTCTCGGGGACATGGAGGCCCACTGGCTCCAGCAAGAAATCACCGAGGTCGCCTGCAGTCGGCGCCTTAAGCGCCGAGAGCGCGTGCTGGGAGGCGGCGGGGGGTAGTGTGTCCACGGGCGGGGGCCTTGAAGGGTTCCCGGCGAGTGCGACGGCCTGTACATTATCGGGGAAGGAGCGGTCAGGGGATAACAGGTGGCCTTTCGGCCATGTGTCCAGCACTGAGCGCAAAGCCAAGTGCCATTCAACCCGTTGGCGTGCGCCTGATGCCGGTTCAATGCAAGATACGAGCGTAGACTGTCGTCCAGAAGTGTCCCCGTTGCGCTCGAGGGAGGATTTCTAGCAGACGCCACACCAGCACCTGGCCGATCTCCGGTCAGCGCTTAAGCGAATATCGCCAGGGGCCAAGTAGCCGGGGGCCTTGTTCACGCTTGGGAGCGGGGCTGGTGGCAGCGCTGTCCAGGGCGGTAAGTCCGATCGAGAATCCCCCACTGAGGAAGGAAATCTCAGAGGGGCCGTCGTCTGGCCCCAGGCCGTCGTCGTTGCCTGTGAGTTCCCTGTGTAGAAGACAAATGCTGCACCCGGTGCGCGAAGGGGTACTGACGTTGGCCGGCTGTACAATCTCCTCCAGGACCAGCATGGGGGCTTTGAGCTTAAAGGAAAAGGCCTCCATATCCGCGTAGGTGGTGGGGCATTGGGCAGCCCTCGCGGCTGGGCGGTGGTGGGCTGAGGTCACCAGCTTGCCCACCAAGCCGATCAGCCTCTCCAGTCTTCCGCGGGGCTGGCGGAAGACAGAGAGCTGGGGCCCCCAGGAGGACGCGAACTGCGACCGGAAGAGGTGGCGGTCGTTCTGCAAGGGGCAACATACACCGAGGATGCCTTCCAGCGTGTCCCCTGACCCGGAGGGGCCAGGGAAGGGCCAAAGGTGGGTGCGAGGTTCGCGCTCCATAAGCAGCATGATGATGAGGGCGCACCGGGCCCTCTCGGTGGACATGACGCGGTTGTTGCGGACAAGCAACTCGACACGGTGCCGCGCGGCTCCGTCGTGGCCGTTCAGGAGGCCGACGAGCGTCTCGACGTCTGGGTAGACCAGGCGGCGCGGGCAGGTCCAAGTCTCTCGGGACCAGGCACTGAGGACATGGTGCTGGAGGTCGCGGGGGCGCAGCGGTTCATATTCCGGGGTCGCCGAGCGGCACGGCCTTGGACCAGCGGTCTCGGAGGCAGCTCTTTGTCCGAAATCTGGCACGAGGAGTTGTCCCAGAAGGCACCTAGGCCGACGGACAAAACCAGGGTGGCCCAGGTCATGTTGCACACCAGGTTGCCTGCGCCCAGCCCTAGCTCCACGTCGAACAAGCAGCCCAGGTGTCTACAGGCTGTCCTATCAAACTGCGCAGCGTTGGAGGGGATGCCCTCAAGGTTGTACCTGCGGGGGCGCAGTCCTGCCACTGGAGACAGGACGACGGAGAAGGCAGGGTCGGAGAGGAGATCCTCGAGCGCAGCTTCCAACCCAAGTCCGAGGCCCCCCCCAGCGCTGTGCAATGTCCGGGGGGAGGTCGTAGTGCACGTTGAAGCTCTCGGCGTGTTCGCCCCTCCTCTGTGCCACCTCCTGGGTGGCCCCAGTCCCGTCGTCGCCTGCCTCGTTGGCGGCGAGGGCGTCGGAGCCCTGCGGCACCCAGGAGGCAGGAGGCAAGGCCGCGGACGGGGTCGAAGTCGGCATGGGCCAGCAACTCGTTGCGCCTGCCAGGGCCCTGGCCGGGGGGATTGAGAAATCGCGCCCTGAGGCCTGCGAGGCGACCGTAGTCGGAGAACAACCGTAGCTTGGAGTCGGCCATGGAGGGAATCACGCGGCCGTCGGGGATGACCACAATGCCCCGCCTGTCGCGCGCAAGTCCCACGTTGACCCTGTCGCGATTGTCCATGAAGCCCCACGCGTGGTTGGAGTTGGACCGCGTAGTGAGAAAAATGGCCAGGTCTGCCTCGCCACCCTGGCTGGCGTCGACTGTGGATAGGGTGAGCCGTCCCGAGGCAAGGTGCCGGTGGGCGATCTGGCGGATGCTGGGGAACAGACTCAGGCCGTTGGCGCCAGTTTTGGACGCCCGACACGGGTACCGAAAAAATAAGCACTATGCCCAACAACAAATGTTGTCCCAAGCCAACAGCGGCCGCTGTTGGGCGGGCGGCCTCCTGTCTCGGATGGACACAGGCCGCGGCGGCGCGGACAGCGACTCCTGTTCAAAGTGAACAGGATCCGCTGTTGGGCATCGTACCCATTCTTTCAATACCCATTTCGGGCGTGCAGACCAGTGGACCAGTGGGTGAAAGCTGTCCCCTGACCTTGGCTCTCGGGGAAGCAGTCAGGGTCCGGGGGGTTGGGCATCGCGCCAGCGCACGTGGAGGTCTGGACCCAGGCAGCGGGGGAGCGGCTACGTTGAGGGGTGGCAGCTGGGCGGGGGGAGCCGCTGGCGCCACGGCGGCGGCGGCCGGAAGCGCCCGGCGAGGCGGCGCGTTGCGGGGGCAGGGGAATGAAGGGCGGGCGGGGGTCGGGGCCGGGAGCGTCGGTGCATCTGTAGTCTCTCATCGCAATTTTAAAGGCCCGGGGGGCGAGCGGCCATTCGTCCTTGAGGGCCCCCTTCTGCAGCCTGCGCAGGGCGATGACCTTGACGGAGAGGCCGCTGGCCATCTCTGGTAGCAACGCTCGTAAGAGATCGACGGTGATGGCGGCCTCAGGGATGTCGGCGCATCCCTCGGCGAGGTGCGATGTCAGCTGGTAGGACCTATTGTCCACCATCAAGGCATCTTCCGACGTACTTGGAACGCGCGGGCGGGGCCCGTCGCAGTCGTTCCTCAGGTCTTCGACACTGACCCCGAGCGCTTCAGCAAGGGATTCACGCCGCACAGGGCCCAGATCAGCAACTTGGGGCCAGAGCAAGCTGAGCAGTTCACGGTTGTAGTATGCCTCGGAAGGGAAGACCATGAGGAACGGGCGCATGCGGTAGATGGGGGCAAGGGCGACGCATGTACTCCCTTGATCCTGGTTGATACCCGCAAGAATCATGAAGACGCTGGAAAATCGGCAGGGAGAGGCCCAGGTCGGCGGCCTGCTTGGACAGGACGGTGGGGGGGAGCTGCTGGGGGTCGCCGACAACCACGAGGTGGCCCCCGCTGCGAATAACATGCACCATCGACATGGCCGCAGTCACCTCGCTTGCTTGCCCGGCTTCGTCGATGATCCCTAGTGGGATGCAAAATCATACCTTGACGTTCAGCTCGGCGGCCGCTTCGTCTGTCGCGTAGATGGCCCCTGCTCGCTGCACCAGGTCCTTCTTAAAGTTGTCGCGCGCCGCGTTGCCGCCATGCTCGGGGGGGCGCGCGTTGCAGGCGCGGGGGTAGTACCCTTCAGGGGCGAGGTGGATCCGGTCGCGGTCTACTTTCCCCCTCCGGGCGAGCCGCAAGTGGCAGCGGGGGCAGCGAGCGTCGCCCACTACGCCATTGTGCTCGGCCGAGGCGAGGGTTAAGAGAGATCGATCAGCTGCGGCGTTGGAGCCGAAGAAGACGCCGACAGCTTGGCCGGCGCACAGGGTGGGGACCCACGCAGCAATCAGCGCCACGATGGCCCTTGCCCTCCCAGAGCGAGGGGGGCCGCGCACCAGGGCGACGTAGTGGTTGCTGCGCGAGCGGAGGACCTGCTCGGAGAGGTCGCCGAGGGAAGAGGTCGCGGCAGCGCGGTTAAGTTGGGGAACGGTCGGCGCTGACCTGGGCCGCTGGAAAACCAGCCCAACACTCTCGTCGATGTCGTTCGTGCCGCTTGCTGCGGGCGGTGTCGGAAGCGTCGGGGTCGCGGATGGCCGCGCCCAGGGTGGGCGCCGCGCGGCGGCGGAGAGCTGCGCCGATGTCGCGCCCGAGCTGCACCTTGTCGGCCGTCTGCTCGTCGGCGACCCTGAATCCGAGGATCCACATGGCGACGGGGGGGGGGGGCGCCGGACAGGTCCTGCGCCTCGCACCCCTTCTTGTGCACATCTTCAAAGGCTTCGTGGAGTTTCCAGCACTGCAGCTCGGATGGGGCCTTGTCCACTCTATAGATCGGCGGGGAAACCTTGCCGACGAGGAGGGTCGTCGCCGGCTCAAAGTTGAAAGGGCCGAACCTTTCGCGGTTTTACTTGACGACGCAAGCTGGTCGGGTTACTTGTTTTGTCTGCGGGCTCGCGAAGCAGGTCGAAAGCCGCCCGAGCACTAGCCGGGCCGCGACTAGGCAGCAAGAAAAGAAAGAGGCAAGCAAAGCGAGCGCGCGGGCAGCCACTCAGAAGGAGAACCAGAAACGAAACTCCCAACCCAGCGGGGTGGAAACCCCGGCGGGGGCCAGCAAGTAAGAGCAGCCAAATTGGCGCGGCGGCGCTACCATAAACACGCAGAGGTCAATAACTCGGTGCGAAGTCGGCACGAAGCACCGTCAGAGACGAACAGAACCGGCAGGCACACCCAGACGACGTCCGCGCCGCAGGCGGCACAGATGCATCGCGCCAGCAAAACATCGTGTCAGCGCAGGAGTGAAGAGGGGCAACCTCGTCACAGATTGGACTGCAAATGGCAGCACCTCTGTTTATACAGCAGTGGCACACGTCGAAAGCGGAGTCCTTACAGGAGAAAGTAGCCGACGGGAGCACCAGTGCCACACATGCCGAAGTCCTTGCACCGCGGAGGTCGGCAGCGCATCGAGACCCAACTGAACCCTTCCGGTCACCAGTGGAGGCCGACACCAGCCAGGAGCAGGCCAGGGGCCACCTGACCGCCAATTCCCAATGCGATCCTTGCATGGAATTCGCAGCGAGACCCCGCTGAACCCTTTCGGTCGCCAGTGAAAGCCGAAACCAGCCAGGGCAAGCCAGGGGCCACCTGACCGCCCATTCCCAATGTAAACCTTGCATGGAATTCAGACTGTCAGAGCACCATCAGGCAGCGGCATTGGCGGCAACCCCAGCCGCGCGGGATAAGCCCGGCGAAACAAAGGAGAAGAGGGGAAGTGCACGCCAGGCACGGCAGGCACCCCCGCGCGGCAGCTAACTGCTGCAGCATCAGGATGCAGGAGGGAAGGAAAGGAAGTACACGCCAGGCACACGGCGCGAGAGGAGTGGAGGAGACTGGTAGAACATGTACTCGAGCAGTTGTTGCTGACTATGCCAATCGTGGCTGCGCCATTTCCGACAGCGCTGACTATGCCCAACATGACTGGGCCAACCCTGGCTATGCCAACCCTGACTGCGCCAACTAAGCTCCTCCCCAGCGGGGGGCCCCACTTCCTCCTGCGACTCGCGACTATTTGTACACCCTTCCCAGTGGAGGCGACTGACCGTCGCAGCGTCCGTCGGAATCCGAGGCGGCTGGGTGTTCCCAGGGGTCGTGTCGCAGTGGGTCGTGTTGGGCGGACGGCAAAGTCTCTCTGTCTTCTCCCTGCCCCTTCTCCTGCGGCTCGCGACCATTTCGCACTTCCCGGCGCAGGTGACTGACCATCGCAGAACCCCGTGGAATCCGAGGCGGCTGGGTATCCTCAGGGGTCGTGTTGCTAGTGGGTTGTGTTGGACGGTCAGCAAGGTTCTCTTCGTCGCCCCCCTGCCCCTCACCCTGCGAATCGCGACTATCTTCGCACTCCCCCCCGGCGGAAGCGACGGACCGCCCCAGGGGGCCATCGGAAACCGAGGCGGCCGGGCGCCCCCAGAGGACGCGCAGCCAGGCGCGATGGGAGTGGAGGCGAATGATAGAACATTCACTCGAGCAGTTGTTGCTGGCCATGCCAATCGCGGTTGCGCCAATTCCGACCGCGCTGACTATACCAAACATGACTGTGCCAACCCTGGCTATGCCAACCCTGACTGTGCCTACTAAGTTCCTCCCCAGCGGGGGGGGGCCCTTCCTCCTGCGACTCGCGACTATCTTCACACTCTTCCCAGTGGAGGCGACTGACCGGCGCAGCGTCCGTTGGAATCCGAGGCGGCTGGGTGTTCCCAGGGGTCGTGTCGCAGTGGGTCGTGTTGGGCGGACGGCAAGGTCCTCTCTGTCTTTTCCCTGCCCCTTCTCCTGTGGCTCGCGACCCATTTCGCATTCTCCCTGGTGCGTTGGTGACTAACCATCGCAGAACCCCTTGGAATCCGAGGCGGCTGCCCACCCCCAGGGGTCGCGTTGCCAGCGGGTCGCGCAGGGAAGGAAGCACGCGCCAGGCACAGGCGGGAGGAGAAGAGGGGGAGTGCACGCCGGGCACAGTAGGCACCACGGCGCGGCAGCTAACCGCTGCAGCATTAGGATGCAAGAGGGGAGGGAGGGAAGCGCACGCCAGGCACACGGCGCGAGAGCGCACGCAGAGGAGAGGAATGGAACGGTGGAACATTTACTCGAGCAGCTGTTGCTGACTATGCCAACCGTGGCTGCGCCATCTCCGACCGCGCTGACTATGCCAACCATGACTGTGCCAGCCCTGGCTATGCCAACACTGACTGTGCCAACTAAGACCCTGTGGAAAGCGACACGCACTTGTCGACAAGGAACCCTGTGCGCCGGAGCGCCCCAGGTAGCTGAGGTGAGAGTACCAAGCCACGTGACCGTGCTGCTTGTCCCGGTGGTGCTGGTTAGCGACGTGCTGCTCGACCCCGTTGAGCTGGGGCCCACGTAACTGGACCCTGGTGTGCTCAGCAAAGTCGTGCTGCACGACTCTCCGGTGATCGTTGCTGCATGTCGCGGCGGTGCTGGTCAGCGACGTGCCCCTCGACTCCGTTGTGCTGGAGCCCGCGGTGCTCATCAACGTCGCGCTACTAATCACAATGTTGCTCGTTGCCGCGCCGTTTGTCGTGGCGGTGACGGTCGGCGACGTGCAGCACAGCCCCGAAGTGCTTGGGCCAGTGGTGTTGGGCCTTATTGCGCTCGTCAGCGTAGCGCTGCTCGTCCCGATTGTAGTTGTCGCCGAGCTACTTGTCTCCGCGGTGCCAGTAAGCGGACGCAGGGGCCGCAGGAGGAGAGGAGCGACTAACCGTCGCAGCCTTGCAAGAAAAACAGGAAGGGGAGATGGAGGCAGCCTGCCACGGTGGGCCGTCGACTTCATGGTACGTGCTACTTCCCATAACCAGTTGCACGTGCCATCCATACAACGAAAGCCTGGTGAAAGAGGGCACAGCCGCAAGGCGGCGAGGACTTCCTGGCGCGGAGAGAGCAGCACGCCAAGCTGCCCCCAGAGCTGCGGTAGGCACGCCAGGCCTAAGAGTGGAGATAATAAAGCCACCTTTCCTGGGGGACAATGAGGAGACGGTCGCACACCCAGCGCCGACGGGAGGAGGATATGGCAAGTGATCACTGAACCCATGAGGAAAAACCAAGCACACATAGCCCATGCACAACTGCACGCGTGACCCACACTCGACGGCCTGGCGCAGGAAGGCACAGCCACAAGGCGGCGAAGGACTTCCCGGCGTGGGGAGGGCAGGCCAGGCTGGCCCCCAGGGCCGTGGTAGGCACTCCAAGCCTAAAATGGAACGGGTCAGCGAAGGTGGGAGCCCCAGGGCGCCGCCGCGCCCACAGGAACGTAGACAGACGTCCTCTCGTGCCCGGCGCGAGCACGCATGAAAGCGACGATGACGTGCACGGGTACAATGTAAAGCTGGGCTCTGCCTTTGGCCAAGCTTCCTGTAGTCGATAATATGCCACTCCCACTGTGCAAGGCTATCCCGGGACGAGCGAATGACGCCCCGAACGCGCTCGATTAGAGAACGGCGGCTCATCGTGGTAAGGGCCAGTTCGAAATAGTCGTGGCTGTCTGGGTGTTTCCCCGTGAGCGCTAGGAACCGGCGGAGGACGTCAGGTTCGTGGCGCGCGGGATCGGAGGTGCTGGTCGGGCTACTTTTTTGTCAGCGGCCGCAGGCGAAGCGCCAGCGGCGAGTCCAGTCAGAGCGGGGCGCGCAAAGACGAATTAACCTAAAGCGGTGGGCCGAAGCCTCACGCAGCACCTCGGCGGCAGGCCCGCGAGTGGAGGGGGGCTGACGGCAACTGTTGGGAAGCTGCACTGCCAGGGTGCACGCATGCAACGGGCTGCAAGAAGGGGCTGGCTGCCAGGTTGGTCTGCTGCCAGGGTCTGACTGGTCGGGCTACTTTTTTGTCAGCGGCCGCAGGCGAACGCGGCAGCGGCGAGTCCAGTCAGAGCGGGGCGCGCAAAGACGAATTAACCTAAAGCGGTGGGCCGAAGCCTCACGCAGCACCTCGGCGGCAGGCCCGCGAGTGGCGGGAGGCTGAATACCAGTAGGCTGGATACCAGTACTGCCAGTACTACCAGTACTACGAAGCGTTTAGAATTTCCTCGATGCACACCTCGCAGGCTGCCTTGGCCGCCAGCCTCCTGAGCTCTCCCCCGCGTCCGGCTTCCGGAAAGCCACCAACCGCACTCCGAGGTTGGCCCGGGTCGCCTTGCGCTCAGGCCCCCACGCAGGAGGAGTACTGCGGTTTTGGCCACTATGTCGAGCGCTGCGCTGTCCGCGAGGAGGGTGCGCCAATGCTCGAATCCGCCCCCCTTGGGGCCTGGCCCCGACAACCGTGGGCTTTTTGCCAAGCTCGTTTTCACGGCGCCGACGAGGTCGTCCACGATGGCCTGGTCTGGCAGGTTGGGGGCCGCGCCCTGGTCTCCCTGTGCACTCGGGGGGAGCAGCTGTTGGAGCCCGTCCTGGATCCTCGCGCTGGTGGCCAGCGTCGCCGGGGCTGGCGTGGACCATGGCTTTGATGATGTTCGCCAATGAGTCTTTCCACCGCGTTCGCGTCTGATGCAGTGGTCGGCGCGGTCGTCGCGGTGCCCCACCAACTGCTGCGAGCGCCTCTAAGTCTCCGGCCTCGGCCGTACTGATTCGGCAGGCGAGTATGCTCGCCATCCCCCCCGCTATCTCCTGCCTTTCGCCCGCCCGTGCTTCGACGGCTTGAACAAGACCGTACCATCAATGAAAGTGAACAGCTTCTCCGCCCGCTGCTGCGCCAGGCCGTCCCCGCGATCCAAGGCTTGAAAAAGCGCTGTGACCACCTGGCCTCGGAGCTGGGCGAGGGCCCCCGCAACCTCGCGGGAAACCTCGGCGCTCGTCGCCACGAAGTCTTTCAGGTCGTCGTACGCCACCTCGCCCCACCAGGCTAAGTTGCGCGGCTGCTGGCGGTCAGTTTGCCCCCCTCCTCTGGTGGCCTGCCCGAGTCTGACCATGTGACTCTGGGTCCACTCTGGCCCTCTTTGCCCGGAGGCCATCCTCCAAATACCTCCACTCGCCCCTCCCCCCTCCTCTATCCTCAGCATCTACAAGCACACACACACACACACACACACACACACGCTAGCCCTTTCCCAGAAGAAGCAGAGGAGTCGCGCCTGCTGGACGCTTCAAAAACCAGCGCCAGCAGATCCTCGAGAACCTGCCTGAACTCTTGGTCCGTGACCTTGGAGGCGGCCGGGTGGTCAGAACTTGCTGGGACCCCAGAAAATTGGTCAGGAGGGGGGGCGCTCAAGATGGGTCCCCAAATCCCTCCTGGGCTTCAAAACGTGTCCGGGGTACCGAAAACGGCCCCCTGAGACCGAAAAGAGCAAAACCTACACCACAACCTCGAACCTCGCGACCCCTTTCTGCTCGCTAGAACCAACGCTAGGCCGCCTGCGACCCCCAGCCGGCTCCAACAGTGACCTCTGTGAGTCTCCGTCCGCCCCCTGGCCACTCGGCCCCGATCGTGGCCACCAGCGGCTGCAAGGGCAGCGCAGCGCTTGCGGTGGAGCGGGAGGAGCAGAAGCAATAAGAAGAGCATGGGGGGCAGGCTCCTCCCCCTCCTCCTCCTCTTCCTCCGCCTCCTCCTCTTCATCCTCGACTAAAGTGGTACCAGAGCTGGTCCCGATACCCCGAGGAGCACGGCGCAATGCTTGCTGCATTATTCGGCTCCTCCCGGCTAGACCTATCACGGGGGGTCAGGAGGCTTACGGACATGAATTGGATAGGACTACATTCTACCCCGTGGGCCCAACCATTTGCAGCAGACATGCAGCTACAATTTGAGAGAGACGAGGGGATGGGATGGTACGCACAACGAGACTCCGACCTGGCCATATCTGAGACAGGGAGCACAGAACAAAAACTATGGTTACAGACAGACCACATAATACTGTACAGTCATAAAAGAAACTGGGACGTACTAACGAGGAGGGAGGAGGTCACAGAGATCAAAGGGGGAGAGGAGGAGGACTTACTACGACCTTACTGGTGCAATTATGTACATGTGGAAACATAATGAGTGGAAACTATATGTGGACAGAGATTTCTAACTTACGCGGCCCTTGCAGGGCACCGACGGGAGCTACACATGATTAGAACAGATGTTGCAGCAGTAATAGTCAATAACCAGTGCCCGTGGTGTGAGAGTACGTTCGTGGACAGGAAAACAACGATCAACCATGCCACGATATCAGTCCATAAGCACGGGATATGCCACCAGGACAGGTCCAAGTGGGCCCACCCCATACAAGAACCCATGACACTAACATGTAGAATGTGTACCCATCAGGCTCAAACACTAGAGGAGTGCCAGGCGCATATAAGAGAGCACCTCGCGGGCCCCGAACAGATCAGAGCAGTGAAAGGCGGTGCTGCACACAGCCTCAAACGCCGTGGTCGAGCAGATGGAGTGGAGGGTCCAGCGCCCACCGCCATCAGGCCCAGAAGAACTACGACCACAGGAGCAGGCCGACATCGGCGAGGGCAGCGGCAGCCAGGCGAACCCACCAGGAGACCGAGGAGGAGGATCAGGTCGCTGACACCCAGGAGGAGGTGGAGGCCCAGGTGGGGGAGGAGAGAGAGTGCAAGCAAACCTACGAGATAGCAGACGTGCACCACAGCGGCTTGCTCTACAGAGCGCAGCAGAGATTCGCAACCTCTCCCACCTCACCAGCGAGTTCTGGCTGGCCCTTCTCGCGGAAGAATGGATCCAGGCACCGATAGAGACAGGCACGAGTACGGCAGAAAGGTGAAGGCAAAGGGCAAGGTCCACGGATACGGGCCTCCTCACGGCCACGTCGCAGCTGCTTTCGTGGAAGGCATGGTGGAGGCGCTCAAGACCGAGGTGCAGGACAACGACCAGCCGATGCAGCACGTGACGAAAACCCGTACGGAGTTCATGGAAAAGCTGGACCAGCCATGGGGACCGACATTTGTGACGGAGGTCGTCCTGCAGTGCAAGATTCAGGAGGCCTACAAGCCGTCGGACGAGTAGATGGAGACGGAGCCGCACAAGGCCAAGGCCATGTAAACTATCAACACGTCGCAGTCGTTCAGGGCGGCACTATTCGAGCAGAACCTAGACAAGGCCCAGTGCGAGAGGATCCTAGGCTTCAAGAGGGACATGTTCAAGCAGTCCCTCGGGTTGGCGCTCGCGTGCCTGGGCGCCAAGAAGGGCCGCTCAGGAGGCCCGAAGACGGGCCTAGAGAGGGTAGTAGAGGCCCAGCTCAGCAGGCGCCGCGGACAGTGAGCCTGCCACCAGAGAAGCCCAGCAGCCCTCAGCCGCCAGAAGTTGCGGGCCCCGCGAGCGTCTCCTCAGGACCAACGAGGCTAAGATCATCCATCAGTCCCGCCGCACTCCAGGGAGGAAAAAATAGCGATGCAGATCAGCAGCGACCTTGAGCGATATACGATACTAAGAGACAAAGCGTTACGATGTAGGGGCCACATAGCGGAAATACCACTCATGGCTACTTACTATTGGGAACCACGTTCGAAGGAATACTATCAGGCCATGGGACCACAATGAGATGAGGTTGGCCACAACATCAGCCAATATACTCTCACTAATACTGTCTAACCACCACCCCCAACGACTACCTCCATCACTACTAGGCACATTGGCCTCTGTTGCAGGACAAGACAGGCAGCTACTGGAAGCAGGACCTCACGACAACAAAATACGTACGAGCACGAGCGGACCGACTACGTACGGAACCCACCAATGTGACGACTGCGGACCAACATCGGTGATCTACTCCATCCACTCAAGGAGGGAAAAATAATGAGCCTCACAAGGACCAACCATTACGGAGACTCAGGAGGAAACAAGGTAAAGCCGAACCAGGACCAACCAGGACATTAAGTACCATAAGTTGGAACGACTAGGACTCTCAGCATTACCCTGCCCCTCCGCTTTCCCCCACAGCCATCGGCACAACTACGGACCCACGCCTGCTCCCTCCTTACTGTGTTGCGTTTCCCTGCTCAGGTAACAACCAGGCCAGGCCAGGAACAAGGTGCCAGGCTCCGACGCCAACACTACCAGGTCCGCCTCCCACCGCAGCCCTTTCGACTCGATCAGAGTTGATGTCGCAGCCCTTTCGACTCGACTTGACTCGACTCGACTCGACCTTTCGCAGCCCTTTCGATTCGACTCGACTCGATCATCGTCCCACGCTTGGGACTAGTTGGAGCTACTACCGACACCGCGGCCTGCTGGCATGGCGCAGCAGCGCAGCCCAACAGCTTGGGCGGCGGCCGCGGCGGCCGAGCCTCACACTCCAGTGCATGAGGCAGCGATGGAGACGGAAGAGGTGGCGATTCCGAAACCAGCTGAGCGCGGAGGTGGACCAGGCGATCAGGTCTTCGGAACCATGCAGTACCGCCTGGAGACGTGCCACAAGACGCTGCAGGGTACCAGCGCGAAGCACGACGACATCATCCAGCACAACCAGATGGTCCTCTACGGCCTATACAAGCAGCAGGAGCGCATCACGATGAGTCTCACGAGGATTGCGGCCAGCCCGAGCTCGAACAAGTACAAGGAGATCGAGCGCACACACGTGGCGGAGCTCCTCAGGCAGCAGCTTGACGAGAACAGCAAGGCCATTGAGCACTGACGCGGCGTGGAGATCATCCTCGGCAGCCAGAGTAGGCTCCACAAAGGGCCATACCCGTGGGAGCTCGACTACGAGAGGCTCTAGATCGACGGGCTCGAGGACTGCTACACTAAGTGGACGAAGAGCGACCACGGCTGGGGCTACGATGAGGTGAAGATGGTGGACCAGAGCGGGCCCAACAGCCTGCAGCAGTTGCACAACAGCAGCACGCAGCAGCGCCCCAAAAGCCCAAACCCCAGCAAGAGCATCCAGGAGTGGAAGCCGTACGTGAAGGTGCTGCCAAAGCAGCTGCAGCGCCAGCCCCCACCCCCGCCAGGCATTCCAGCGGAGCCGACAGGTCCGAATCCGAGCGGGGATCTCCGCCTCCGTGACCCATCGGTCGCAGAGTAGGCGGGGTGGGGGCTGGGCTGCATGCCGTGAGCAGTGAATCCAGCCAAAAACCCATTAGCACTCACCTGCCAATGAGGCTTACTACATATGACGGTACTAGTAGCAGGCGGGCTCCACTACACAGTTCAGCAGCAGGCCATCTTTTTTATGCTTTGCTTCCGCATCGTGCCGACAGCAGTGAGGTGTGGTGGGAGGTGCAGGGGGAGAGGGGGAGGAGGGGAGAGTGCTCTCAGCGGCCCTGGGCTCGTCCCAGTCGGGGAACTCCCAGGGCCGCCTGCGTCCGCCAGTCAGCTCTTCAGGGCAGGGTCTCCCTGCTACAGTGCAGCGGCCCACCGCCACAGGATAGGGGGCAGCGCGCACCAGGCAGCCCTCGGTCGCACTGATTGGGGACCTGCATCCATATCCTCACCCAGGGGTCAGTTTAGCAAGTAGAGTGGCTGACATTCAGACCACCAAGGGCTTTACCCTTATCCTTCTCCTCCTCCTCCTCCTCTTCCTCCTCCTCCTCCTCCTCCTCCTCCCTCCTCCTCCTCCTCCTCCGCGGGCTGGGCGTTTCGCCTGAAACTTCCTTACAATATTGTGATCCTGAAGCTTACAACTTCAGCAACAGCTTCACAGAAAGAGGGCCGGTCGTTTGCAAACTGTGTTTCTCACCTCGGCGCCGCGCACATTCGTTTGAAGAAGTTGCAGGAGCTTCACGGATTGATGGCGGGTTGTTTTCAAAATGTGGCTCTCGCCTTGGTGCCGCGAACATTCGTTTAACAAGCTGCACGAGTCTCACGGATTGATGGCAGATAGTTTTCAGAATGTGGTTCTCGACTTAGCGCTACGCACATTCGTCTAGAAAAACGGCAAGGGCTTCACAACTTGAAGACGGTTCCTTTTCCACATGTGTCTCTCGCATTAGAGCCGCGCATACTCGTCTTTCACATTTGCAAGACTTTCATGAATTACCTACCAGAAATGGTGATTTCGAGAGGTTCAGGACTGCCAGGGCGCAACAATTATGTGGATTCGCGGTGTTGATATCCCAGGAATGGTGCTCTGGCACGATTCAGGATCGTCAAAACGCAACAATCAAATTGACTCGTGGTCGAGCGGCCAGCGGGGCAAAATCAAATTCCAGTTCTGGTTCCCGTTCCGCTTCCGATCCCAATTCGGGTTCTGG